GTCACACACGAGTTAACTAGCATGTACGTGTTCAAGTAGATTGTAAAATTAACCAAAAGGTTGACCTAACAAAGATGTACATTAGTTTTTTTTTTTTTTTTTTTTTTTTTTGGTCAAACAAGATGTACGTAGGTTTTGATTATCATTAAAAAAAAGTTGGGGTTCTACCATAAAATTAATTGGCAATATGCGAAACTTTGCAAGGTTTCTACTTTACCTTCGCATCTCACATTATTTACTTTTGAATGTTTATCATGGAACTTTGCTTTGATTATCCATATACCCTAAAACGAATATCTTACCTTTCTATCTTTGACCATGGCAGGTTTGCATAGGCAGCTTCACCATAGGACAACAAACAATAACTCCTCAGGCGGTGAAAGGCCCAACAGCACCAGAAATGACCTAAGTTCACGTTCTACTGTAGCATCTTAATGGTGACCACTGACGTCAACGGTCACTTTTATTCGTGAGAAACCCCAATTGTCACAGTGCAGTTATGAATTTAGTGATTGGTTTGCAATTTACATTATGGAGGCGTTACAATGATTTTAAGAAGACTCGACTTTTCTGTTCTTTTGGTTACAAGTTATGTTCTTCTGTTCTTAATTAGTCACGTGTTCATCTTTTCTTGCTCCTCATCTCCATTATTCTTGTTTCCAGATTCTGAGAATCAGTAGTCTGAGATAGATATGTAAGAGCAAGATTAACACTAACAAAGATTTAACCAATTGAATCACAACTCTCCAGTGATATCAACATGAATTAAAACCCTGTTATTAAAGCTGCAATACTAACCTGCAGAATTCGATCCAGATGATGAAGCTATTGTGGCTTCAAGAACTATAACCTTCTCTCCTCTTTAGCAATACGAAAAAGCTCTCAAAACATTTGGACTTGAAATCTCAATGAGCCATGGAATTGCAAGAGCAGTGGCCAAGTTCTTATATAGTATTCTTTAACCATTCCCTAACAGAATTGGTTTAGAATTTGAACTCAACACAACCAACATGTAAACATTAGTCCTAAATAAGTTCCAACACTGAGTTTCAATTCCACAAGAATTACTCATAACTTTTATCATACTTATTCCACAAGTAATTCGATTAAGTCACAGCATATCTAATATGTACCTTATATTTATGTGAACCAACACAATAGCAATGTCAAGAAAACACCACTCCCACTTACTCGCCAAGTCTCAACTCAACAATGTCAAGATCCCAATTAACATGCACACCAGAACATAATATTAATATTCTTTCAAAAGTATGCATCAGTAAAATCACAAGAATTGATTTTCTAGCAAACAAAAACTATTATTAATAACAACTTGTCTTCTGGAACAATTAACCACAAAATTGGAAAAATTGAACTTTAACAGAAAACCAAAATAAGACAACTGACTAAACCAAACAAACTTAAAATAAACTACCTAATTCAAAGGTTTGCAGCTTCAACCATTAATCAGAAGAATGAAGCATCAACCACAGCTTTTAAGTTCCAGAATGGCTTACTCCCACTTGTCTAAAGATTCTAGCACTCCCATCTGTGTCACGTGCGCTTTAAACACATGATTAGGCAATGCTTTTGTGAGAGGGTCTGCAATCATCGAACTCGTTGACAGATACTGAATTTCTATCTCCCCTTTCTTCATCATTTCTCTAACCTTGAGAAACTACACATCCATCAATCTAGTCTAGAAGCAGAAGTTCTCTTGTTATTTTTCGAGAAGAACACAGCAACATTGTTATCACAATACATTTTCACAGGACCTCTAACAGAATCAATAATCTTCATGTCAGCAAGCCAAATAGCTTGTTCCATCCCTTCAAAGCATGCCACAAACTTAGCTTCCATAGTCAAGGTTGATACAATAGTTTACTTGGCACTTTTTCATGAAACAGCTCTTCCACTTAACTTGAAAATATATCCACCAATTGATTTTCTCTTATCCACATCTCCGGCAAGATCTGAATCAGTGAACCCAACCAACTCCAATGTATCTTCTCTTCCATATACTAACATAAAACCGTTTAATTCGTTGCAGATATCTCAACACCTTCTTTGTTGCCAGCCAGTGAGCTTCTCCTGGATTTGATTGAAACCTACTCAAAAGTCCAACAATAAATGCTAAATCAGGTTTATTACAAATATTAGCATACATGATACTTCCAACTAATAAAGCATAGAGCTTCATCTTCATTAGTTTAGTCTCATGCTCATTCCTTGGATATTGGCTTCTCGAGAACTTATCACCCTTGTTCACTGGAACATCAGCTTTGCTGCAACTTTCCATATTGAATGTATTGAGTACCCTCTCAATGCAATCTTTTTGCGATTAACCAAGGACCCTTTTCTATCTATCCCTGACAATCTCAATTACCAACACATAATAGGCTTTTCTCAAATCCTTCGTTTCAAAATTTGTACTTAACATATGTTTGCTTTCATTCAATAGTTGTTTATCTAAGCTTGCAAGTAAGATGCCATCAACATAAAGAACAAGGAAGATAAACTTCGAACCTCTGGCCTTAAGATAAATACAATCATCCATCTTGTTCTCCATAAAACCATGTGAAGTCACAACTTGATCAAATTTCAAAAACCATTGTCTAAAAGCCTATTCAAGTCCATAGATTGACTTGCTTAATCTGCAGACCATATGCTCCTTCCCCTTTTCAATAAATCCAGGAGTTTGAGCCATGAAGATTTCCTCAACAAGTTCTTCATTCAAGAAAGTAGTTTTGACATCCATCTGGTGCAACTCAAGATCAAAGTGTGTTGTTAATGCCATGATGACTCTCATTGAGTCTTTGGAAGACACTGGTGAGAAAGTGTCATTATAATTAACTCCTTCCCTCTGTGTAAAACCCTTTGCAACTAGTCTTGTTTTATATCCTTCAATTCTTCCCTCAGCGTCCCTTTTGGTCTTAAACACCCACTTGCAGCCAATTGTCTTGATTTAAAGAGGTGATGGTGTTAAAGTCTAGATAATTTTTGGACATGGAATTAAGTTCTTCCTCAATTATCACATTTGTTGAAAACTCAGGTTTAGCCATAACTTCAACAATCTCAATGTTTGGTGTGGGAGCACAAGTATGTAACTGTAGTCTAAAGATGAAGAATTTTCATCCAACTGCACTTTTTCATCAAACTCAAAATTCTATTGGACTATATTTAAAACATCTTCATCTTCCAAAAAACAGCATTATGAGTTTCTTATATTCTAGTGTGTACTTGAGTGCAGTAAAACCTGAAGCCTTTTGATTTCTCAAAATAACCAATGAAGAAACATGTTGTTCTAGGGTCTAATTTCTTCTCACTTGGAATATAAAATATTGCTTCTGTCTTGCTACCCTAAACATGAAAATAATGGAAGCTTGGTTGTCTTCCATTCCATAATTCAAAATGTGTCTTGAGCACTTATTTAGATGGCACTCTATTCAAAATATAATTTAATGTCTTCAATGTCTCACCCCAGAGACCAGGAAGTTTAGACCTAGATATCATGCTTCTCACCATCCCCATTAAGGTCCTATTTCTCCTCTCTGCCATTCCATTCTGTTGGGGTGTGCCTGGAGTAGTGTATTGTGCTATAATACCTTGACTTTCAAGAAAGGAAGCAAACGGTCCCTTTTGTTGTCCAGCTTCTGTATACCTGCCAAAATAATCTGCTCCTCTATCTGATCTAATTATTTTAATCACAAGGTCCAATTGTTTTTCAACCTCTCTTTTAAAAACTTTAAAACATTCAAAGAATGAAGACTTCTCACTAATTAGAAAAATGTGACTTTATGTTGAGCAGTCATCTTTGAAATTCACAAAATAAGAAGGGAATTGTTATTGGCAATCTAAATTTCTCATTCTACACTCCAAACTTTCTATATTTAGAAAGAAAAATACACTTGTGAGAAGTGTAGAATGAGATTTTTGGAGTGCCAATAACACTTCCCTATAAGAATTCCAACATATAGTTTTGACAGGAAAAGGCCCACAAACATCTATGTGTATGATTTCCAACAAATCATGACTTCTTTTGGCATCTAATTTCCTAATATTTGTCAATTTTCCTGTCATACAATCAACACATTCAATTGCATTTTGAAGTCAATTTCAGGAATCAGATTCATTTTGGATAATTGAAACACCCTCTCTTTTGAAATATGTCCTAATCTTTTATGCCAAAACATGAATGTTTGATCTAAACGGTGCATTCTTTTGGTTGCAATGTTCAAAACATGCAAATGATCAGTTTCTATAATGCAATGTAATTTCCATAGTTGATCATGCATAAAAGCTTTTCCCTACGAAGAATCCTTTTTTATAAAACTTGATGCATTTTTCATCTCCCATGAAAACATAGCCATGTTTAACCAATTTTGATGCTAAAATTAGATTTCTCCATATTGTAGGAACATACAAGACATCATTTAATTGTATTACTAAACTTGTAGCTAGTTTAAGTTTGACAATGTCAATAGCTTCAATAGTCACTTTAGTTCCCTCACCAACAAAAACATTAAAACAGTTTGTTTTCTTTGGTTGCTCAAAACCATGCAATGAATTAGTGATATGCACAGATGAACCAGTATCAAACCACCAAGAATCAGCAAGAATATCATTAAGATTTGACTCCTCACACACATAGACATTAGTTTTTTCTTTGGCCCTCAACCAATCCTTGAATATTTCACAGTCATTTCTATAATGACCTTTGGTTTTGCAATGATAACATCTAATTTTTTCAATGTTTTTAGTTTTCACCTTAAAATTGTTAGACTTAGAGGAGTTGGTATTTTTAGCAGGTATAACAGACTTGTCAAAATGCTTAGGTTTAGAAGTGTTACCATAATGAAAATCCTTCTTTCTCTTTGCAGCTTGCACAAAATTGATGGATTCAGCCTCTTTGCTCTTTGACAATTTTCTTCTTGTACACACTGAGCAATTAGTTCATCAACTGTCCACGTCTTATCCTGAATATTGTAAGACACTTTCAGCTAACTAAACTTATGTGGCAATGCCTGTAGTATCATGAACACCAACAACTTTTCTCCAATGATAACATCCATGGAACTAAGTTTTTCAGCTGCATCAGTCATCTTTATGATGTGATCTCGAATTAAGCTTCCACCCTCAAACTTGTAGGAAGTCAAGAGTGACATATGCTGAGCAATTTCAACCTTATCTGATTCTTTGAACTTAATCTCCACAACCTTGAGATAATCCTTTGCTAGATTGCATTTCTTGATTCCACCACCCACTATATTTGTCATGCCAATTTCAAGAATGGATAGAGCCACTTTATTAGCTCTAGTCCATCTCTCAAAATCTGCCTTTGTGCTCTTGTCAGTCAATGCCTCAAGTCTTGGAGTGTCAAGAGCAATGTCATACTCATTCAGTGTCAAAAGCAATTCTATATCTCTACGCCATTTCTTATAATTGTTCCCACCATTGAGAATTGGCACTGCTATTAAATTGATTAACTTTAGTGAAACTATAGAAGACATCAATGAAATCAGAACTTTGAGTCTGTTAAAGATCCCTGATTTCTGTCTTTTTCACCATAAATTAAGGATTTTGAATCAACTTAACCATACATACAACCTTTATTACTAAAGACATATATAGAATAAACAACTCAAGATTGACTTTGTCAATCAAATACAAATCATTTGTTCTTTAAATTTGATGCTACAGAATTTTCATTAACACAAAAGCAGAAGAAAAAAAATTGCACTGATAACACATATGCATTCAAAAGGGATTACAACTTCATGTTAATTCATATAACAGTGGAAGTGTTATAACAACTGCAGAAATTATTTGGATTTGATTCAACAACATATAGCAGGATCAAAATATATAAATTAATTACATCATCCTAATATTGTTGTCAGTATCAAGTATATTTAACTTACAAGGAAAAGGAAACATTCCTGTTTTGGATCGATTTTGTTATAGTTGTAAGTTTTAGCATCAAAACTCGAATTAGAACAACGATTAAGAGAGAAGAGGAGAAAAAACCAGATCTTTCAAATAATAAAGAAAACCTAAAAACAAAACCCAGACTTCTAATGGTCATATTGTTTAAAAATAACCCCACGATAGTCTTAACGGCTCTTTAGTGAAACAGTGCCATTTAGAGCAGTTTTTTTTATTCGATTTGAAGAACACAAATATAAAACCCAGATTCCGATCTCCAAATGTAATTCATTTATCGATGAATTGAATTCAATTATTAGAACCCACGACTCTGATACCACATGTAAGAGCAAGATTAGCATTAACAAAGATTCAACCAATTGAATCACAACTCTCCAGCGATATCAACATGAATTAAAACCCTGTTATTAAAGCTGCAATACTAACTGGCAGAATTTGATCCAGATAATGAAGCCATTGTAGCTTTAAGAACTATAACCTTTTACTCTTTAGCAATACGAGAAAGCTCTCCAAAGAATAGAACTTGAAATCACAATGAGCCAGGGAATTGCAAGAACAGTGGCCAAGTTCTTATATAGTATTCTTTAACCACGCCCTATCAGAATTGGTTTAGAATTCGAACTCAACACAACATGTAAACATTGGTCCTAAATAAGTTCCAACACTGAGTTTCAATTCCACAAGAATTACTCATAACTTTTATCATACTTATTCCACAAGTAAGTCGAAGAAGTCACAGCTTAAGATTTTAGACTTCTTCGTATCAATCTCAAACACTACAGTCAGTCCTCTTCATAATTCATACTCATAATCTTACAAGGTAGACTCTTGGATGTTGATAACTTGATACAGTCTTTCTCCCTCAACCTCTTGCATGTTGATAAGTTAGATGTCGCTTACAATATTTACTGTCGTTGATGTGATAATTATACGCACACAAATTAAACCCTCTTTTTATCAATTGTAGTGAAGAATGTAAGTAGTGATCGTTCTGAACCGGGGATTAGGAGGGATTGTTAATCACTTGGATTTGACTCAAAAACGTAAAAACACAATATAAAACACCAAACTAGACCCAAAGAATGCAAAACTAAAGTTTAAAACACTAAAACAAACCAATAGACTCAAACAGCAAGAAAACACTCAAAACTGTCTTAAAACTACTTTCTGAGCAGTTTTGAGCACTAGAGAAGAATTTGGACGAGAATAGTTATAACTTGACTCAAGATACTTTAAAAACACAAACTAAATTGATTTCTAACTAATTTGACACTCCAAGTAAAGGGGGATTTTGATTTTGACGAATTTGAAAACAAAACTTAAAACTTTGTAAAACGAACAGATTTTAAAACGATTTTGGATTTAATGAATGGAATGAAAGCTAGCTAAAGGGGTTCATCTCCACACATGCCATACTTGCACACAAAACGATTTCTAATTGCTTTTCAATAACCCATGAATTCTCAATGCCCCAGATTAACCGTGAATTGCACTAATTAACCCTCAGATTTTCCTAACGTTATTGAATTGGATGATTGCATACGACAACCCAAAGCATTCCCCACAAGTTCCCTACATGAATTGCATAATAGAGATACAAGCAAGAATCATTAAGTTCTTTGAAAACCATAAGCATTGACGAAGCACTCGTTACTATGAATTGCATGAAACTTATGCCAAGAATTTACTTAACGCAATTGAGGTCATCAACTTTTACTACTTGTGAATATAAGTTTGTAACGATTAAGTGAAACTTCCTTATATCCTAGCATTAGATTTATGCATGATAATTAAGCGTGCACTCTCAACCAACACACATAAATCAGTTTAATTCAAATAGATAAGTGAATTGAATTCACAACTTATGAAACGCAATTAGAGGTAATCAAATCATATAGCAAGCATGATCATGGTTTCGAATCCCCCCCCCTAGCCAAGGGGGTTTAGTTCCTCATACGTACAAGACAAAGATAAGTAAATTTAACCATTGAAATCAAAGGAGAGGAAACACCTAAAAATTCCAGCAACTCGAACTTGAATTGCATGAACGTCCAAGCCCTCTTCTCCTCCTCTTTGTTGCGGCACAAGGTCTAAGGACAGGTCTTGGGTAGTATTTGTATGGAGGAATGGATGTGTGATGGTAAGGTAGTGTTTAGGAGGGATGGGGAGTGCGGCAAGGTGGAAAAATATGGAGAATGGTGAAGGATGGCTGCGGCAAAGGGTTGGGAATGTATTTCTGGTGAATTTCTGAATGTGGAGTAGTGAATGATGTGTGAAGGGGTGGTGGTGATTAAATGGCACGGCAAGGCTGTTTATATAGGCTAGTTTGGCACACTTAGTGAAGGAAAAGGATTGCCCAATCCCAATGCAAAAGGGTTAATTCAAGGCAGAAACCAAAGGGGATTGGGATAGGTAGTGCACGGCATGGATTTAGGCCCTTCTAGAAGGATAGGTGCGGCAAGGGTTATAGGGATAAGATAAGGCTTCTAGAAAGAAGGGTTTAGAACAGATTCCTAATCCTAAAGGGACATGAACATGTGATATAAGAGTAGGAGAAGGTTTTCAATTCCTAAACCTACTAGGAGTGGTGTACATGCGGCATATAAAAGGAATGAGGGTCTAGAATCTGTTCTAAGTGTTTAGATATACATCTAATCCCACCTAAATAGCTAAGTTTAAGTCCCCACCTGATTTGGATAGGATAGAATAGGATAATGTTAGAGATAGGATAGGATAAGGTTTCTAGGATAGGATAAGATAAGGTTGGATAAGGTTCCATGTTTCTTGCTTCTTCCTTATCTTCATTGTATTAGGACTTCTTCCACCAGATTTGTAGCCTTTCCTAGCTCTTCTAGTCTTCAATTTCGTCCATCCTCTTTGCTCCATGATTAAGCTATCCAATCCATGCCCAAAAATGCTCCAAATAGCCTCAAAATGCACTTTCTTGCTCCATTTGCCATTAGGACCTAAAAACAAACGAAAATAGCTTAAACTACTAAAACAACTATGAATTAACAACATAAATGCACGAAAACAAGCTAAGTAAGTCGCCTAAATATGCTCCTATCAAATTCCCCCACACTTAGCTTTTGCTAGTCCTCGAGCAAAACAAAATAACCAAAACGAATAAAACACATTCTAGACCTTCCAACATGTACCTCAGGAATTTCCAATGAACATGACACATTAAAGAACATCATTCCCACGGTTTTTAGCTGTCTTTACACTTCAACAAACACTTAATCATAGTTAATACTTATTAGTTCACATTTAATCAACTAAAACAATGTTTTGAATGTAGTAACATGCCTTAGAGAATTCCCTCAATTCCTCACTAGAATGCACTCTATTTTCACACAGATTTTCTAACTTCACACCCTACACTAGGTATATGTGAGAAGATTGATGTAAATATGAAGACTAACACTCACATATGTTATATCAAAGAAAGCATTTTCCGGATTTACGACAATGACATGAATATGACCTCATGAATGGAATGCTACTAATTAGAACGAGAACCAGTGATTCCATATGCTCATACCAAATTCAAACTCCACATATTGAACACATAACATCAAGATAGAAGTTGAGGGTTGTAACGAGGCTAAGGTATTGGCTAACAAAGAAAGGTAAGGATAAACAAAAGTTCTTAAAGCAATAGTAAGCAAAGTAATGAATTTGACACTTAAACTCTCTTCCAATGGCCGAAATCAACTTGTACACACAAGGGAAGATTCATGCAACATTTAGGGTCAAATTCACTCTTTTGGACCCTTCCTTCAACAACCAACACTTGTGAGTTCATTCTCACTTATTTTTCAACTCCTTTTCTTTCTTTTGAACACTTTTCTATTTTCTTTTGATTTTTCCACGAATTTTTTTTTCTTCTTTTCTTCTCTCTTTTTTTTTCTTTTCTTTTTTTTTTTTTTCTTCTTTTGTCGTGCCCTATCATCTTCCCCCACACTCATTTTCTGCCAAATATTGACCAAAGGAGTTCACTCTAGGTCGTGCTTCACTATCCTTTAAGAACAAAGGTATGGAAAGTCCTAATCTAGGCTAGGTGAGGATAATGTGGCTAACAAAGAAAATAGTCTTTGAAAAGGCTCAAGAGAGTTAATCCTACAATACATATGAAAAGGGATAGGCTTTTTGGCTCTGGCTTGACTAACAACTTCATCTTATTGTATGTTATGCAATCAATACCATGCTTTGAATGAAATGGGCATGAGTTCTAGTATTTGGAACTATAATGAGATGCACTCCAAGTAGTAACCAAGCAAAGAATGATGAGATCATGCAACGACTTTAGAAAACAAGAAATCATAGATTATACTCTCCAAAGAACGTTATAGGCTCAAGTCTCTCAGGGTTGTAGCGTTAGTTTGAGTTTCTTCCTTCAAGCATGTTACAAAAACTGAATTTTTTTCCTTTGTGATTACATGTCAATTCATAAGCTATAACCATAACCAAGCATAAACCAAAGCACAAATCAACTTCCAGCCATGTTTACAACATTCTTTAATAGTCATGCAATTAAAAACCAAATCCTCATCATTGTGTTGGAAGGTACCCTAAGACAGAAACACACACACAAAAACAACTTTAAAACAACTCTTTTTGGGTTTTTTTTGAAACAATTTTTCAAATTTTTATGGGATTTTCGAATTTTTAAGTCAAAACACACTAAAACAGTTTAAAAACACTTAAAAACAACAAGAAACAACATTAGAAGTTATGGTGGATAAAACCCTACGAATTTGCATCAAAACACTTTAGTTACCCCCCCCCCACACTTAAATCAAACATTGTCCTCAATGTTTCAAGCATAGACTCACACAATTAACAAACAAACAAACAAAACAACAACTAAACAACCTAACATGGCAGAAACGAAATAGCAACAAAGAGAAGAGTTTAGGAACGCAAATCTGGAAGCGGAGTGCTTTCTAGGTCTTCCTTTGTTGAATGCATGGGTTGCCTCCCAAGTAGCGCTTGCTTTAACGTCGTACAGCCGGACGAAGAACCCAATCACTCCAGATTGGAGCCCAAGGCACCCAAGGGGGTGTCATCCATGGTGTGCTCCACAAAGTTCTCATAATAGGCCTTCAAACGATGCCCGTTCACCTTAAATTCATGTCCCGTTTTCAAGCTTTGGATTTGGAGGATCATGTTGTCATGGAAAGCTTTGGTCTTTTGCTTGTAAATGCTTGCATTCTCGTACGCCTCGTGCCGTATTTCATCAAGCTCATTCAATTGGAATTTCCTATGGCTTCCCGCTTCATCTAAGTGCATGTTGAACTTCTTGACGGCCCAAAGAGCTTGATGCTCCAACTCCACGGGAAGATGGCACGCCTTGCCATAGACAAGTCGAATAGGGGACATCCCAATGGGGGTTTTGTATGCCGTACGATACACCCAAAGTGCATCATCTAATCGTAAACTCCAATCCTTTCT